GCAACAAGCATTTGCCAGTGTCGTCTTCTAAAATTTCTTAACAGTGATGCAGGTTACACCAGCGAGAGAAGCTGCGGTGGGAGCACCATGTCTACACAAGCAACAGCAACAGGCAGTCTCGCTGGTGCAAATGCTAAGAAGGTGAATCACGCAAAGCGTAGCAATGGGGATGACAGGTAGGTGATTTCTGAGTTGACCCATAGGACATTGCAGAAGTAGCGACTCTAGTAGACTGCGACACCTTGGCTAGAATCTGCCAGAGCGCATCGGGGAGAACAACGGGGAATCTTGACTCTCTCAAAAGCACCAGACCACTTTTTGGCTTTCAAACCTACGTAACTGCCCCTTTTGGCCCTCGGAAACTTCCTGAACGTCCTGATTAGCATGTGCCAGAGCACACCGAGCAGCACCACCAAGGCACTTGGGCTCTCGCAAAAGCACCAGACCAGTTTGTAACAACATGGACACCTTTACTAGTCTAATGCCACCCCAAATCATTATATAGTCCTATATTAGCATAATGCCACCCACCCAAATCGACTTTCTAGCTCCTCACAACCCACTGAAAAGGCTTCTCCTGCCCCTCCGGACGCTCCCCCAAAACCCTGGCCAGAATCTGCCAGAGCGCACTCGTAAGCATCGCCAGTGCATTTTGGCTCTCGCAACAAATGCAAACAATTTTTCAAAGCCCTGGGCGCCTTCATTAGTCTAATGCCACCCAAATTCGGATTTCGAGCCCCTCACAACACACTGCAAAACTGCCTCTTTTTCCCCCGAGGAGCTCTACGAACACCCTGGCCAGAATCTGCCAGAGCGCACTAGTAAGAACCCCCAGGGCAAATTGTTTCTCGCAACAGTTGCAAACCATTTGTCAAAGCCCTGGGCTCCTTAATTAATCCAATTCTACCCCAAATTGACTTTCAAGCATGTCATAACCCACTGCAACTGCCCCTTTTTTACCTCTCCGAGAGTTCCTCGAACTCCCTGGCCAAACCTACAGAGCGCACTGGTAAGCACCGCTAGGGCATTCTGGCTCTTGCAACAGTTGCAAACCATTCTTCTTCGAAGCCCTGGGCACCTTATTAGTCTATTGCCACCCCAAATCGACTTTCTAGCCCCTGAAACCCACTGCAGCTGCCCCTTTTGCCCCCCACTGGAGCTCCCCGAACACTTTGGCCAGAATCTGCCAGAGCAGCACCGCCACTCAATTTCGGCATTTGGAATTGTTGCACGCCATTTTTGAAGCCCTGAGCACCTCTTTTAGGCAATTCCATCCGAGATTGACTTCTTGGCCCCTCAAAACCCACTGCAACTCCACGGTTTGCCCCCCGGCAACTCCCCGAACACTCTGGCCAGAATCTGCCAGAGCAGCACCGCCACCCCCGCCACCTCCAATTCCGGCACTCGCAACAGTTGCAAGTTCCTTTTTCAAGCCCTGGGCAACTTCTTAAAGCTAATGCCACTGCAAATCGACTTCCAGGCTCCTTAAAACCCCTGCAACCGGCCCTTTTGCCCCCCGGCAGCTTCCCGAACACTCTGGCCAGAATCTACCAGAGCAGCACCGCCACTCAATATCGGCATTCGCAACAGTTGCAATCCACTTTTTGAAGCCCTGTGCACCTCTGTTAGGCTAATGCCATCCTAAATCGACTTCCTGGACCCTCACAACCCCCTGCAACTGCACCGTTTGCCCCCCGGCAGCTCCTTGAACACTCTGGCCAGAATCTGCCAGAGCAGCACCGCCACTCAAATTCGGCATTCGCAACAGTTGCAAACCACTTTTTGAGGCCCTGCGCACCTTTTTTATTCTAATGCCATCCCAAGTTTACTTCCTGGCCCCTCACAACTCTCTGCAACTGCCCATTTTTTCCCCCCTGGCAGCTCTCCGGACACTCTGGCCAGAATCTGCCAGAGCAGCACCGCCACTCAATTTCAGCATCCGCAACAGTTAGAAATTAATATATGAGGCCCTGTGCACCTTTGTTATTCTAACGCCCATCCCAATCTACTTCCTGGCCCCTCACAACCCTCTGCAACTGCCCATTTTTTTCCCCTAGAAGCTCTCCGGACACTCTGGCCAGAATCTGCCAGAGCAGCACCGCCACTCAATTTCGGCATTCGCAACAGTTGAAAATTGAATTATGAGGCCCTGCGCACCTTTTTTATTCTAATTCCATCCCAAATCTACTTCCTGGCCCATCACAACTCTCTGCAACTGCCCATTTTCCCCCCTTGGCAGCTCTCCGGACGCTCTGGCCAGAATCCGCCAGAGCAGCCCGCCACTCAATCTCGGCATTCGAAACAGTCGCAAGCCAATTTTTCAAGCACTGGGCACCTTCTTTATGTCGAGATAGTAAGTACGATGAGGAGCCATAGCTAGGGTTGACCTAGCTAGGCAAGAGAGAATGAAGCAAAGGAGAGGTTTGCACTAGCAACAATGGTGGTACAAATAGCTAACCCTAGAAGGGTTGTACTCGCTATAGAGCACCCCACTGCAGGCTAGAGCATAATATTCTGACACACCCCCATAGCCAAAGTGGGGTGTAATCAGCAGAGCAAGCAAAGCAGTACAAGCTCAGGGTGGATCACGATGTCACCACACATTCTGAGCACAAGTTCAAGAAGCAATAGTTTAAAGTTCACAATTATGAGCAAAGCTAGAGGCAGTCACAAAAGGGGCAAGTGAGGAGGAGGAGGGCTGGCGAGAGGAGAGTAGATTAAGAGGCGACGACTGAAGCTGCAGACACACGGGCAACAGACGGCTCTGGTGCGACACAGTGGCTACCGGGAATGAGTGCCCCGGAGTACAGGAGTAACAGGCTCCGCGGCTAATACGCGCGGCAGGAGCAACGGACCCACAGGCGACGGCGCAACCGGCTCTCTGAGCTACCGGGAATGAGTGCCCCGGAGTACAGGCGCTGCGTACGACACGACGGCAACCTCCGCTCAACCTCCCCCAACAGTCCCACACCCCTCGACACACACCCCCTGCTTCAAACCCTAGCTCCACTCCCACGGTACCCACCCCCACCTTAAACCCCAAACCCTAGGCTCCCACACACCACCACCCCCCTCAACGGCAGCTGTAGCAGAGGGAGACGAGGGAGGAGGAGGAGCAGGGGGAGTAACTCACAACCGACACCCCCACCCCCAGCCACCGCCGCCACCCCCACACTCTCCACCCCCAAACCCTAAAACGGGCGGAACGGGGGAAGGAGCACGGGGGACGGCGAGGGGGACGGCGCGCGGCCCCCAGGACGCCACCACGGGGCAGCGAGGGGCCGCGCGCGGCTCCTTAGGGCGCCGCGAAGGGGCAGGGGGGTTCGCTCGCGCAGTTCCCCAGGGCGGCGCGACGGGAAATCGGGGGCCGCGCGCGGCTCCCCATGGCGTCGCGACCGTCGACGGGGCAGCGGGGGGTCGCGCGCGGCTCCCCAGGGCGGCGCGACGGGAAATCGGGGCAGCGGGGGGTCGCGCGCGGCTCCCCAGGGCAGCGCGACGGGAAATCGGGGGCACTCGGGGGTCCCCCACGGTAGGAAACCGCCGCGCGCCTCGGGGCGCACGGCGGACAGGAAACCGCCGCGCGTCCGGGGCGCACGGCGGGGAGAAAACCGCCGCACGCCCCGAGCGCGCGGCGGGATGAAAAATCCGTCGCACGCCACGGGGCGTGCGACACAAACAGTAGTAGGAGCAGCGGAAGACTGAGGTGGTGGGGCCCACCCACAGGATCGACCCAACTGGATCGTCCTGCTCTGATAGCATGTCGAGATAGTAAGTACGATGAGGAGCCATAGCTAGGGTTGACCTAGCTAGGCAAGAGAGAATGAAGAAATAGAGGTTTGCACTAGCAACAATGGTGGTACAAATAGCTAACCCTAGAAGGGTTGTACTCGCTATAGAGCACCCCACTGCAGGCTAGAGCATAATATTCTGACACTTTAGGCTAATGCCACCACCCCAAATTGGCTTCCTCGCCCCTCACACCCCCCCCTGCAAACGCCCCCTTTTGCCCCCCGGCAGCTCCTCGAACACTTTGGGCAGAATATGCCAGAGCGACATCGCCACTCAATTTCGGCACTCGCAGCAGTTGCGAACCACTTTTTATAGCCATGGGCACCCTTGTGAGTCTAATGCCACCACAAATCGACTTTCTAGCCCGTCACAACCCATTTAAAATTTAATTGTGAACACTTGCGATTTGCCTTGCAAATGCAACGTCTCATTTCAACTGGCAAGTACAAGATTTTATCGTCCAAGCATTGTACAACATATAGAGCTACCATGCATCTCATGCTAGGGTGGGGGGGCGGGAAACTTGAAATTGAAAGTTCGAAATGAAAACGTGGGTGAAGGCCAAATGGCCTTCGCCCCCTCTTTTATACCGAAAAAGAGGGGAATTAGCGTTTCGCCGAAGCCTTTGCTTCGGTACAATTCGCTTCGCTATTCACAATACACAATTTTGAAAAGTGTTACACACTTAAAAATTTTACATTAATTGGAATTATCCAGTTTTTTTTTTTGTATTCCAGATGATAGGAAAACCAAATTGATATGAATATCAGAAGATAATGCGTGAAAGATTTTATTCTTTGTGACTCTTGTGATGTTTCATGTATGAACAAAATGGTTTCTATTACTTTTTATATGTTTTCATGTATGAAATGTATTTTCTGTTTCCATTTCCTGTGTTCTAACCTTGCGCCTTTCAGCGAGGTTTGCGGTCAACGCGATTCACTTGTCGTTTTTTGCTGATGCCTGCGCCTGTGTGCACCCGCCGTTCCCTCCCCACCCCATTCAGCACCGTCGCCACGCAAGCACAGCACCGCCCCGCACAACCCGTTCCGTCATCTGCGGCAGCCCCCAAGCGTGCTGCTTCATCACCGCTCTCAGTCACCCTCGCGTGCGGCTCGTCGGCAGCAAATAAGCCAATCAGGCGCACGAAATCCGCGGTCCGCGGTGAAATTCACAAATTTCAAACCGGGCCAGCAGTTCGTGCGGCAACCTCCCCAAACCCCAACTCTCTCAACCCCACCCCACCTCACAAACCTTTGCGCTCAATCCATCCCCTCACGAACACATATATCCAGAGCAACTCTCTGAACAACTCACACCCACTCACAACTACTACTACTAGTCGCATGCTCATACCTACTGCTAGGTACTAAGATACTCGCTTTCCCTCGTCTGCGCCTATAATTTCGTAGCATTGGAAAAAACGCCTGCTCGATTCCTTCTCTCCAGTAGCGCCTCACTGACAGTTCTTCTTTTTCCGTTGTCGCGTCGTAGCTCCCAACCGTCAAATGGCACACGGCACTTCAGCACCTTCCACGTTTGTTGCACTGCTCTTCACAGGTGAGAACACTTGCCATAACTGTGCCGTCGTTAGTAGTAGCTGCGGAAGTCTTATCTTGATACGCCAAGCAACTGAATCACATCTTGCAGCTTAGTAGTTTAATTGAAAACTGACAAAAAACGCTCACTCTCTCTGTTTTTCTTCATTTGCAGTGCTTTTGGCAACACAAGCCGATGCAAGTCGATTTCTTCCCAGCGCCGTCAACCGACTGCCAAGCAGCTTAGACTCAGCTGTCGCGGTGGCAGGCGCAGCAGCCAGTAGCAGCAGCCTCGCAGCAACCCTCGGTTCAACGCTCTCCGACCTCCAGACATCCGTGAACGACCAGATTGCGTCTCTAGACGAGCTTCTAGGAAACCGCTCGAGAAATTCTTGGCAACAGTTAGCAGCTCCGCGCCAGCTGCAAGCGCCGCGCTCCAGGCACAGATAACCGCGCTAAAAGCCAACCTCGGTGCTTTGAATGCGAGCCTCGTCAGTTTGAACGCGTTGAACATCTCAGGGACCAATCTGACCGTTACTAAGGATCTGGTTTCTCAGATCTCAGGCGTTCAATCCAACATCTCCTCGATTAGCACCAGCATAGCTGCTCTGAACAAGGAACTAGCTGGGATTATCGGCTCAGGCATAGGCTCGGGAGTAGGCTCGGCGCGAGCGTCGATTGCATCCGGTGCTGCTTCCTTGAGGCAGAGCACTGCGATCCGAGCGGCGCTGAGGCAGCGGCTGGCGGCAGTGACGCAGAAAGTAGCGGGTCTCAACGCGAACGCGTCTGCGCTCGCTGGGATGGTGAACGGCCTGAGCGGTGCTCTGAACAGCGCTGTGAGCGCCAGTTTGAACGCGGCTGGCGACAGCAGCGTGGTGTCGGGCCTCACGAATCTTCTGCCCCAGCAGGCTGGCATGCTGCGTAGCGTGCTGACTTCATGCAATGGCCTGCAGTCTCTCCAGGCCGGTGCTGGCGATCTTCAGATCCTCAAGATGTAAGTGACCCCTATTAACCCCTGTTGACTCACGTTGACTGCTATTGACTACTGCTGGCTTCTTTTGCCCTTTGCTGCTTGAATGTTAAACGTGTGTTATTTTCCCTCTCACCCCATCAACCTCCCCTCAACCCACAATGCAGTGGCTCGGACTACCTGGTCACATACTACCTCTACGCAGCTGGAGTCACCAAGGCTCCAGAATCTCAGGCCATCTTCAAGGGCAGCCCCTGCAGCAATGCTGCTTCAGCAGTCCTCACCCTCCCTGGCACATGGCAGCCCATGAGCCCTGTGTCTTGGTCGCTGGCCAATGTCGTGAAGGTGTCGGCTGCTGACGTGGCGGATGTGCTCGCATCACTCCAAGTGGTCACCAATGATGACCTTTACCTCGGATTTTCCGGGGCTGACGGGTCACTCTCAGGAAAAATGATTGGTGGGAAGCTGTGATTCGTCGAACCAGAACAATGATGATTATTGGGGTGGTGGGGGAACATTACAGGGGCACCACACACGCATGCTGACGCTCAAGTAAACTAGGTAGTAGAATAGTAGGCTAGAAATGGTGCCTTTGTAATGTCTCTTCATCACATATTTTGGTTCAATTTTGACAAAGCAAGAGTTCTAACCTGTGACTTTCCTTTTGTGGATAGCTAGGGTAACGAAATGTACAACCGTTATCAGACACAAACAACGGTTTACACGGAAGCTCTGTTGTAAGCCTCGTGTGTAGAAAGAAGGCACTAGAGTGGTTCTGTGCTAACTGTAGCAGCAGTGCTTCTTGCAGGAGACCATCCACGAGAACCTGCGGTAGGGGGGAGAGAGAGAGAGAGAGAGAGAGAGAGAGAGAGAGAGAGAGAGAGAGAGAGAGAGAGAGAGAGAGAGAGAGAGAGAGAGAGATAGAGAGATAGAGAGAGAGAAGAGAGAGAGAGAGAGAGAGAGAGAGAGAGATAGGAGAGCGCTCGCTATAGCTAGCGCAGCATCTAGAGAGACAGCAGCGGCAGCAGCAGCAGCTCTCAGCAGCCTCCAGCAGCACCAGCATCCGCAGCAGCAGCAGCAGCTCACAGCACAGCAGTGCGCCTCACATAAGCCTCATGAAGAGCACCAGGTGCGGAACATCCGCCAACCGTAACCCGAGCTTCTTGGGTGCAATCACCCCTGGCAGTTGGAGCATCCCTCTTAGGCAAAGAAGCACTACCAGATGGCAGAACTACCTGCAGTCAAGGGGCGTGTTAATAAGAAGTTGTGAGAGAGGGAGAGTGCTTTGAGTTAGGGGACATGGGCGGGAAGGGTGATGGCTGAGGAAAAGGCAATGGATTTTGGGAACAAGATTAGAACCTGTGGAGTTTGTAAGTTCTCCCAAAAGTTAGGGGGATGGAGGAAGTGGGGGATGCAGATAAGTTTCTGGGATGCTATCAGAGAATACAGGGAGAGAGAGCAGGGTAGAGGGACAAGCACTTCGGAGAAGGGCCTGCGATTGTGAGAGAGGTATATGAGGTCTCGGATGGGCGTCGAGACTTGGGGGGGTGGGAGAAAAAGAAGAGATGCAACAAGCATTTGCCAGTGTCGCTTCTAAAATTTCTTAACAGTGATGCAGGTTACACCAGCGAGAGGAAGCTGCGGTGGGAGCACCATGTCTACACAAGCAAACAGCAACCAGGCAGTCTCGCTGGTGCAAATGCTAAGAAGGTGAATCACGCAAAGCGTAGCAATGGGGATGACAGGTAGGTGATTTCTGAGTTGACCCAATAGGACATTGCAGAAGTAGCGACTCTAGTAGACTGCGACACCTTGGCTAGAATCTGCCAGAGCGCATCGGGGAGAACCAACGGGGAATCTTGACTCTCTCAAAAGCACCAGACCACTTTTTGGGCTTTCAGAACCTACGTAACTGCCCCTTTTGGCCCTCGGAAACTTCCCTGAACGTCCTGATTAGCATGTGCCAGAGCACACCGAGCAGCACCACCAAGGCACTTGGGCTCTCGCAAAAGCACCAGACCAGTTTGTAACAACATGGACACCTTTACTAGTCTAATGCCACCCCAAATCATTATATAGTCCTATATTAGCATAATGCCACCCCAAATCGACTTTCTAGCTCCTCACAACCCACTGAAAAGGCTTCTCCTGCCCTCCGGACGCTCCCCCAAAACCCTGGCCAGAATCTGCCAGAGCGCACTCGTAAGCATCGCCAGTGCATTTTGGCTCTCGCAACAAATGCAAACAATTTTTCAAAGCCCTGGGCGCCTTCATTAGTCTAATGCCACCCCAATTCGGATTTCGAGCCCCTCACAACACACTGCAACTGCCTCTTTTTCCCCCGAGGAGCTCTACGAACACCCTGGCCAGAATCTGCCAGAGCGCACTAGTAAGAACCACCAGGGCAAATTGTTTCTCGCAACAGTTGCAAACCATTTGTCAAAGCCCTGGGCTCCTTAATTAATCCAATTCTACCCCAAATTGACTTTCAAGCATGTCATAACCCACTGCAACTGCCCCTTTTTACCTCCGGGAGTTCCTCGAACTCCCTGGCCAAACCTACAGAGCACACTGGTAAGCACCGCTAGGGCATTCTGGCTCTTGCAACAGTTGCAAACCATTCTTCGAAGCCCTGGGCACCTTTATTAGTCTATTGCCACCCCAAATCGACTTTCTAGCCCCTGAAAACCCACTGCAGCTGCCCCTTTTGCCCCCCACTGGAGCTCCCCGAACACTTTGGCCAGAATCTGCCAGAGCAGCACCGCCACTCAATTTCGGCATTTGGAATTGTTGCACGCCACTTTTTGAAGCCCTGAGCACCTCTTTTAGGCAAATTCCATCCGAGATTGACTTCTTGGCCCCTCAAAACCCACTGCAACTCCACGGTTTGCCCCCCGGCAACTCCCCGAACACTCTGGCCAGAATCTGCCAGAGCAGCACCGCCACCCAATTCCGGCACTCGCAACAGTTGCAAGTTCCTTTTTCAAGCCCTGGGCAACTTCTTTAAGCTAATGCCACTGCAAATCGACTTCCAGGCTCCTTAAAACCCCCTGCAACCGGCCCTTTTGCCCCCCGGCAGCTTCCCGAACACTCTGGCCAGAATCTACCAGAGCAGCACCGCCACTCAATATCGGCATTCGCAACAGTTGCAATCCACTTTTTGAAGCCCTGTGCACCTCTGTTAGGCTAATGCCATCCTAAATCGACTTCCTGGACCCTCACAACCCCCTGCAACTGCACCGTTTGCCCCCCGGCAGCTCCTTGAACACTCTGGCCAGAATCTGCCAGAGCAGCACCGCCACTCAAATTCGGCATTCGCAACAGTTGCAAACCACTTTTTGAGGCCCTGCGCACCTTTTTTATTCTAATGCCATCCCAAGTTTACTTCCTGGCCCCTCACAACTCTCTGCAACTGCCCATTTTTTCCCCCCTGGCAGCTCTCCGGACACTCTGGCCAGAATCTGCCAGAGCAGCACCGCCACTCAATTTCAGCATCCGCAACAGTTAGAAATTAATATATGAGGCCCTGTGCACCTTTGTTATTCTAACGCCATCCCAATCTACTTCCTGGCCCCTCACAACCCTCTGCAACTGCCCATTTTTTCCCCCTAGAAGCTCTCCGGACACTCTGGCCAGAATCTGCCAGAGCAGCACCGCCACTCAATTTCGGCATTCGCAACAGTTGAAAATTGAATTATGAGGCCCTGCGCACCTTTTTTATTCTAATTCCATCCCAAATCTACTTCCTGGCCCATCACAACTCTCTGCAACTGCCCATTTTCCCCCCTTGGCAGCTCTCCGGACGCTCTGGCCAGAATCCGCCAGAGCAGCACCGCCACTGAATCTCGGCATTCGAAACAGTCGCAAGCCAATTTTTCAAGCACTGGGCACCTTCTTTATGTCGAGATAGTAAGTACGATGAGGAGCCATAGCTAGGGTTGACCTAGCTAGGCAAGAGAGAATGAAGCAAAGGAGAGGTTTGCACTAGCAACAATGGTGGTACAAATAGCTAACCCTAGAAGGGTTGTACTCGCTATAGAGCACCCCACTGCAGGCTAGAGCATAATATTCTGACACACCCCCATAGCCAAAGTGGGGTGTAATCAGCAGAGCAAGCAAAGCAGTACAAGCTCAGGGTGGATCACGATGTCACCACACATTCTGAGCACAAGTTCAAGAAGCAATAGTTTAAAGTTCACAATTATGAGCAAAGCTAGAGGCAGTCACAGAGGGCAAGTGAGGAGGAGGAGGGCTGGCGAGAGGAGAGTAGATTAAGAGGCGACGACTGAAGCTGCAGACACACGGGCAACAGACGGCTCTGGTGCGACACAGTGGCTACCGGGAATGAGTGCCCCGGAGTACAGGAGTAACAGGCTCCGCGGCTAATACGCGCGGCAGGAGCAACGGACCCACAGGCGACGGCGCAACCGGCTCTCTGAGCTACCGGGAATGAGTGCCCCGGAGTACAGGCGCTGCGTACGACACGACGGCAACCTCCGCTCAACCTCCCCCAACAGTCCCACACCCCTCGACACACACCCCCTGCTTCAAACCCTAGCTCCACTCCCACGGTACCCCCCTTAAACCCCAAACCCTAGGCTCCCACACACCACCCCCCTCAGCGGCAGCTGTAGCAGAGGGAGACGAGGGAGGAGGAGGAGCAGGGGGAGTAACTCACAACCGACACCCCCATAGCCGCCACCCCCACACTCCTCACCCCCAAACCCTAAAAACGGGCGGAACGGGGGAAGGAGCACGGGGGACGGCGAGGGGGACGGCGCGCGGCCCCCAGGACGCCACCACGGGGCAGCGAGGGGCCGCGCGCGGCTCCTTAGGGCGCCGCGAAGGGGCAGCGGGGGCGCGCGCAGTTCCCCAGGGCGGCGCGACGGGAAATCGGGGGCCGCGCGCGGCTCCCCATGGCGTCGCGACCGTCGACGGGGCAGCGGGGGGTCGCGCGCGGCTCCCCAGGGCGGCGCGACGGGAAATCGGGGCAGCGGGGGGTCGCGCGCGGCTCCCCAGGGCAGCGTGACGGGAAATCGGGGGCACTCGGGGGTCCCCCACGGTAGGAAACCGCCGCGCGCCTCGGGGCGCACGGCGGACAGGAAACCGCCGCGCGTCCGGGGCGCACGGCGGGGAGAAAACCGCCGCACGCCCCGAGCGCGCGGCGGGATGAAAAATCCGTCGCACGCCACGGGGCGTGCGACACAAACAGTAGTAGGAGCAGCGGAAGACTGAGGTGGTGGGGCCCACCCACAGGATCGACCCAACTGGATCGTCCTGCTCTGATAGCATGTCGAGATAGTAAGTACGATGAGGAGCCATAGCTAGGGTTGACCTAGCTAGGCAAGAGAGAATGAAGAAAGGAGAGGTTTGCACTAGCAACAATGGTGGTACAAATAGCTAACCCTAGAAGGGTTGTACTCGCTATAGAGCACCCCACTGCAGGCTAGAGCATAATATTCTGACACTTTAGGCTAATGCCACCCCAAATTGGCTTCCTCGCCCCTCACACCCCCCTGCAACCGCCCCTTTTGCCCCCCGGCAGCTCCTCGAACACTTTGGGCAGAATATGCCAGAGCGACATCGCCACTCAATTTCGGCACTCGCAGCAGTTGCGAACCACTTTTTATAGCCATGGGCACCCTTGTGAGTCTAATGCCACCACAAATCGACTTTCTAGCCCGTCACAACCCATTTAAAATTTAATTGTGAACACTTGCGATTTGCCTTGCAAATGCAACGTCTCATTTCAACTGGCAAGTACAAGATTTTATCGTCCAAGCATTGTACAACATATAGAGCTACCATGCATCTCATGCTAGGGTGGGGGGGCGGGAAACTTGAAATTGAAAGTTCGAAATGAAAACGTGGGTGAAGGCCAAATGGCCTTCGCCCCCTCTTTTATACCGAAAAAGAGGGGAATTAGCGTTTCGCCGAAGCCTTTGCTTCGGTACAATTCGCTTCGCTATTCACAATACACAATTTTGAAAAGTGTTACACACTTAAAAATTTACATTAATTGGAATTATCCAGTTTTTTTTTGTTGTATTCCAGATGATAGGAAACCAAATTGATATGAATATCAGAAGATAATGCGTGAAAGATTTTATTCTTTGTGACTCTTGTGATGTTTCATGTATGAACAAAATGGTTTCTATTACTTTTTATATGTTTTCATGTATGAAATGTATTTTCTGTTTCCATTTCCTGTGTTCTAACCTTGCGCCTTTCAGCGAGGTTTGCGGTCAACGCGATTCACTTGTCGTTTTTGCTGATGCCTGCGCCTGTGTGCACCCGCCGTTCCCTCCCCACCCCATTCAGCACCGTCGCCACGCAAGCACAGCACCGCCCCGCACAACCCGTTCCGTCATCTGCGGCAGCCCCCAAGCGTGCTTCATCACCGCTCTCAGTCACCCTCGCGTGCGGCTCGTCGGCAGCAAATAAGCCAATCAGGCGCACGAAATCCGCGGTCCGCGGTGAAATTCACAAAATTTCAAACCGGGCCAGCAGGTTCGTGCGGCAACCTCCCCAAACCCCAACTCTCTCAACCCCACCCCACCTCACAAACCTTTGCGCTCAATCCATCCCCTCAACACATATATCCAGAGCAACTCTCTGAACAACTCACACCCACTCACAACTACTAGTACTACTACTACTAGTCGCATGCTCATACCTAGTGCTAGGTACTAAGATACTCGCTTTCCCTCGTCTGCGCCTATAATTTCGTGGCATTGGAAAAAACGCCTGCTCGATTCCTTCTCTCCAGTAGCGCCTCATTGACAGTTCTTCGTTTGTTCGCGTCGTAGCTCCCAACCGTCAAATGGCACACGGCACTTCAGCACCTTCCACGTTTGTTGCACTGCTCTTCACAGGTGAGAGCACTTGCCATAACTGTGCCGTCGTTAGTAGTAGCTGCGGAAGTCTTAGCTTGACACGCCAAGCAACTGAATCACATCTTGCAGCTTAGTTTGATTGAAAACTGACAAAAAAAAACGCTCACTCTCTGTTTTTTCTTCATTTGCAGTGCTTTTGGCAACACAACAAGCCGATGCAAGTCGATTTCTTCCCAGCGCCGTCAACCGACTGCCAAGCAGCTTAGACTCAGCTGTCGCGGCGGCAGGCGCAGCAGCCAGTAGCAGCAGCCTCGCAGCAACCCTCGGTTCAACGCTCTCCGACCTCCAGACGTCCCTGAACGACCAGATTGCATCTCTAGACGAGCTTCTAGGAAAACCGCTCGAGAAATTCTTGGCAACAGTTAGCAGCTCCGCGCCAGCTGCAAGCGCCGCGCTAAAAGCCAACCTCGGTGCTTTGAATGCGAGCCTCGTCAGTTTGAACGCGTTGAACATCTCAGGGACCAATCTGACCGTTACTAAGGATCTGGTTTCTCAGATCTCAGGCGTTCAATCCAACATCTCCTCGATTAGCACCAGCATAGCTGCTCTGAACAAGGAACTAGCTGGGATTATCGGCTCAGGCATAGGCTCGGGAGTAGGCTCGGCGCGAGCGTCGATTGCATCCGGTGCTGCTTCCTTGAGGCAGAGCACTGCGATCCGAGCGGCGCTGAGGCAGCGGCTGGCGGCAGTGACGCAGAAAGTAGCGGGTCTCAACGCGAACGCGTCTGCGCTCGCTGGGATGGTGAACGGCCTGAGCGGTGCTCTGAACAGCGCTGTGAGCGCCAGTTTGAACGCGGCTGGCGACAGCAGCGTGGTGTCTGGCCTCACGAATCTTCTGCCCCAGCAGGCTGGCATGCTGCGTAGCGTGCTGACTTCATGCAACGGCCTGCAGTCTCTCCAGGCCGGTGCTGGCGATCTTCAGATCCTCAAGATGTAAGTGACCCCTATTAACCCCTGTTGACTCACGTTGACTGCTATTGACTACTGCTGGCTTCTTTTGCCCTTTGCTGCTTGAATGTTAAACGTGTGTTATTTTCCCTCTCACCCCATCAACCTCCCCTCAACCCACAATGCAGTGGCTCGGACTACCTGGTCACATACTACCTCTACGCAGCTGGAGTCACCAAGGCTCCAGAATCTCAGGCCATCTTCAAGGGCAGCCCCTGCAGCAATGCTGCTTCAGCAGTCCTCACCCTCCCTGGCACATGGCAGCCCATGAGCCCTGTGTCTTGGTCGCTGGCCAATGTCGTGAAGGTGTCGGCTGCTGACGTGGCGGATGTGCTCGCATCACTCCAAGTGGTCACCAATGATGACCTTTACCTCGGATTTTCCGGGGCTGACGGGTCACTCTCAGGAAAAATGATTGGTGGGAAGCTGTGATTCGTCGAAACAGAACAATGATGATTATTGGGGTGGTGGGGGAACATTACAGGGGCACCACACACGCATGCTGACGCTCAAGTAAACTAGGTAGTAGACTAGTAGGCTAGAAATGGTGCCTTTGTAATGTCTCTTCATCACATAATTTGGTTCAATTTTGACAAAGCAAGAGTTCGAACCTGTGACTTCCTTTTGTGGATAGCTAGGGTAACGAAATGTACAACCGGTATCAGACACAAACAACGGTTTACACGGAAGCTCTGTTGTAAGCCTCGGTGTGTAGAAAGAAGGCACTAGAGTGGTTCTGTGCTAACTGTAGCAGCAGTGCTTCTTGCAGGAGACCATCCATGCGAACCAGCTGCGGTAGAGAAGAGAGAGAGAGAGAGAGAGAGAGAGAGAGAGAGGAGAGAGAGAGAGAGAGAGAGAGAGAGAGAGAGAGAGAGAGAGAGAGAGAGAGAGAGAGGAGCTGTATGGAAATGAGAAGCAGCAGCAGCAGCAGAAGCAGCAGCAGCAGCAGCAGCAGCAGCAGCAGCAGCAGCAGCAGCAGCAGAAGCAGCAACAGCAGCAGCAGCAGCAGCAGCAGCAGTGCGCCGCACATAAGCCTCATGAAGAGCACCAGGTGCGGAAGCATCCGCCAACTGGAACCCGAGCTTCTTGGGTGCAATCAACCCCTGGCACCTGGAGCATCCCTCTTAGGCAAAGAAGCACTACCAGATGGCAGAACTACCTGCAGTCAAGGGGCGTGTTAATAAAGAAGTTGTGAGAGAGGGAGAGTGCTTGGAGGTAGGGGACATGGGCGAGAAGGGTGATGGCTGAGGAAAAGGCAATGGATTTTGGGAACAAGATTAGAACTTGTGGAGTTTGTAAGTTCTCCCAAAAGTTAGGGGGATGGGAGGAAGGGGGGGATGCAGATAAGTTTCTGGGATGCTATCAGAGAATACAGGGAGAGAGAGCAGGGAAGAGGGACAAGCACTTCAGATTCCTAGTATATAGTCCTAGGTTAGTCATACTTGAGCTTATTCTTCACAGGTGAGTTCGGTTTACTCTCCAAAACCGGCGGCCGCCGCTTGCCAGGCCGCGCGTGAGGGGTGGCAAGGTCTGGGGGAAACAAGGACTATAACACCAAGACGTACAACATGCAGTGGTAGACCGCTATTACAACAGCAAGGCCCCCAGGTGTTAACAATCCGCCATGGGGAAGCCCAAGGCCCAACCTAGCACCAAGGAGGCGGGCAAAGGGAGGCCATCAGCTACTCGGAGAGGATCCAGCACAGCCTCCCGTCCATCCAGCGCAGGACGGATGCGGCTGCTGGTACAAGGCCAAGTGGTGGGCTCCGCGCGGAGTCAGCAAGACGCATCAACGCGCGGGTGCCGGGGCCGAGCGCGGCGCCAGGGGCAGCAGGCACAAGGCCGATCAGGGGGAGGTAATGCTGCAACTCCGTCGCTGCCGCCACCGCTGCCGCCTGCACTGACTACAGCACACGTGGACCACGACGCCCTGACGCGCCAAGCACACGTGGAGCTGGTCAAGCACATAAGACACCAGCTGTGAGGATCTTAGGATCGAGCTCAGAAAAGAGAATGGAATTGAATGTTTCACCTGGGTACAACGCGAGGCTATATATAGGCTCGACACAAGGCCTAGTAACCAGGTGTTACGCGAAGGTTCCGAGGGTCGCGAAGCGTCCCGAACAGAGCCTTCCCGAATTAGGTAGTAGAATTCGGTGTACGCAACCTAGTTCGGTGCCTATAACTATAATATATATACTAAAAGCAACGAACCTAGGAAATCTAGCGAAAGCAAGCAAAAACCAAGCAAAGCTAAGCTAGATAATGCATAATAAAGTAAAGGCAAGCTAGCAAAGCCAGCATAAGCCGTCGTACTCTCACACGTCCCCCCCTCAAAGCTGGGTGGCGTGAGATACACCCTGCTTGACAAGATAGTCCTTGAGAGCACGGCGTGCGTTGCCCATATCAGCTTATGCAACCCAACTGTCCTCAGTGGGGTCGTATCCCTTCCAGCGTATCAGGAACTCGAGGGTCTTGCTGCCGCGGCGCCGATGAGTGAGAACACGCTCGATCTCGTACTCTGGTTCATCCTGCACAAGAACAGGTGGTGGTGGCGGTAGCTGCCGTCCCTGAAACTGTTGGTTGGGGTCCTTGTAGGGCTTCAGTAGCTGAACATGGAAAGCATTGTGAAGCTTCCACGTATTTGGTAAGCGCAAGCGGAATGTAACTGGTGTCACCTGTGCCTCCACGAGAAAAGGACCACAGAAGCGAGGCCGGAGTTTGGATGGTAGGTGAGACAGGTTCAAGTTGCGCGTGTCAAGAAGCACCTGATCTCCGACTGCTACTGAGTGATCTCGTCGTTGGCGATCGGCATACTGCTTCTGGGAGTTCTGCATCGTGGTGAGACGTCGCTGAGTCTTCTCCCATAGCTGCTGCATGGTGGTGACGAAGTCGTGTGCGGCCTGGACGTGTGCCGGTGTAGTTGGCTGCTGTGGTGTGAGTGGTTCCCGTCCATAGCACAGGAAGAAAGGAGTTTTCCCTGTGGCCGCATGCGAGGTGTTGTTGTAAGCGAACTCTAAGGTCGGTAACTGTGTGTCCCAGTGGCTGATATCGTCTTTGCAAGCTGTGCGCAGTAACTGTTCAACCACCTGATTGAGTCGCTCCGTCTGTCCGTCAGTCTGGGGATGGTATGCTGAAGACATCGCAAGCTTAGTCCCCAACAATCCCATGAGCTCCTTCCAGAACTTACTCGTGAATTTTGGGTCTCTGTCTGAGATGAGTGTAGCGGGGATGCCGTGGATGGTGATGATGCGGTCGAAGAAGAGTCGAGCAGTTGCTTCAGCAGTAGCTGTGGCGTTGGTCGGTATGAAGTGACCCATTTTGGAGAACTTATCGATCACTACGAGGATGGAATCGTGTCCCCGTGAGGTCGAGGGAAGTCCTGTGATGAAGTCGAGACTAACGACCTGCCATGGCTGCTCCGGTACGGGTAGAGGCTGAAGTAACCCTGCTTTTTTCTGCTTGCTACTCTTCATCCGCTGGCACGTGTCGCAGGAGGTGACGAACTGCTGCACGTCTGCTGCCATCCGAGGCCAGTAGTAATACTTCGCTATTCCCGCTAACGTCTTGTTGCTCCCAAAATGTCCCGCGTATGGTACATCGTGAAACTCCTCTAAAAGGATCTGCCGTAGCGGGGCGTAATTCGGTACCCAAATCTTTCCTGAACCCTTCCTTACCGCTAAGTCTTTCTCCCACTGTAACAGCTTCTGTTTCTCTGCCGTTGCTATCTCTGCGTCCACGGAGTACCCATGCTGGAATAGACCCTTGAGCAGAGGGTTCATCCCGTCGAGCTGGATGCCTGCTACGTGACCTAGGCGGCTCAACGCGTCTGCTTTGTTGTGGAGCCCGGGTTTGTAGACGATGTCGTAGTGGAAGTGGGTCTCCAAGAAATCCACCCACCGCACCTGCCGTCGTGAAAGCGTCGGCTGCGATTTCAGGTATTTGAGGCAGCAATGGTCTGTATAGACTGTGGTCTTGGCTCCCTCTAGGTAACACCTCCACGCCTTGAAGGCTACGACTATAGCTAAGGCTTCCTTGTCGTGGATGGGGTAGTTCAGTTCTGCTCCGTGTAACTTCTTACTGAGGTAGGCGATAGGCTGTAAACCGTTCCTGTGATCCTGCATCAGTACTGCTCCGACTGCCTGGTCACTAGCGTCTGCTTCAACTACGTAGTCCTTGTCAGGGTCCGGTAGGATGAGTACTGGCGCTGTGGTCAGTGCTGTCTGTAGCTGTTCCATGGCTTGCTGATGAGGAGCACCCCACTTGAAGGGCGTGTCATTCTTCAGTAGGTCGGTCAGTGGCGCTGCTATCTTAGCGTACTGCGGCACAAACCTGTTGTAGTAGTTGGCGAAGCCGAGGAACTGCTGCAACTCCTTCACGTTCTTTGGGACTTTCCACTTCTTAACGGCTTCGATCTTCCGCGGGTCCACGTGTACGCCCTCCGCACTCACCATGTGCCCGAGAAACTGCACCTTCTTCAGTGCGAAGTCGCTCTTCGACAGCTTCACGTAGAATTTATTTTTATGCAGGATCTCAAATACCTTCCGCAGATGCTCCACGTGCTCCTTCATGTTCTTGGAGTAGATGAGAATGTCGTCCAGGTACACTACTACGCATTCGTCCAGCAGGGGCCGTAGGATGTGGTTCATCTCCGCCTGGAACATTGCTGGTGCGTTGCATCACCAAGTATTCGTAGGAGCCGTATCGCGTACGGAACGCCGTCTTGTGGATTGAGTTGTCCGCCATCTTGATCTGCCAGTAACCCGACCGTAAGTCCAGCTTCGAGAAGACTGTTGCACCACGAAGTTGGTCCAGTAGGTTGTCGATGCGCGGTATGGGGTATTTGTTTTTAACTGTCTATTTGTTCAGTGCGCGGTAGTCGATGCACATCCGTAAACTACCGTCTGGCTTGGGAGTGAAGAGAACTTGTTCACCGTAGGGAGAGGTGGATGGGCGGATCAGTTGTCTGTCCAGTAAATACTCTATCTGCTTCTTCATGTCTGTCAGTTCGGTCGGACTCAGTCGGTATGGTGCACGTGAGACGGGTTTCGCACCTGGTTCCTCCACGATCTCGTGCTCGTGGGTGCGTGCTGGAGGTACGCCTGCGGGTAGGTCGTCGGGCATTATATCCTTGTACTGCTCCAAGACCTCCTTCACTGCTGCAGGTAGCTCCGAACTCGGCTTCTCCTCCTCTGCTGCTGCCATAACTAGTGCTAAGTAACCCGTGTTACTCTCGTTCACCGTCCGTTCGAACCGTGCCAGTGTCGTTTCAGGAACATCCCCTGTATCCGTCCAGCTTCGCAGCTCCACTCGTTTCCCGTTGTTGTAGATGCACGCCTTCCAATTAACCCAATCGATCTCAGGGTTGAACCGCTTCAGGAAATCTCGCCGCAAGATGAAGTCTAATCCTTTGATGTTCGTGATCGGCAACGTCGGCTTCCATCGTAACGCACCTATATGCAGTGCAGTGGTGCTTCGCCGTGGATGGGAAGCTTCGTACCGTCCACCATCGTTGCTGAAAACCGGGTCTCTTCCGACTTCTCTCCAATTTTCTCCAACGTCCCGCGGTCACACACCGAGTGGGACGCACCGCTGTCCACCAGTGCCTGGAGGCGTCGCCCGTTGCAGATCACCTCGAGGAGTAGTGGCTGCTGCTGCTCCGAGTAACCGTAGATGGTCTCGCTTACAGGATCATAGGGTACGTCGAATAGATCATCCCGAGGTCCTGCGCTCGAAGCTGCTGACTGAATATCAGTCTTCAATTGAGAAGGGTTGGAAGGATTTATCCGAGGCCGATTCAGCTTCGTCTTGGCCTGGAACCTTCCCCTAAGCCGTTGCAGCTGTGTAGGCTTCTCCTGTGGGCAATGGGGAGCCTTAACACTGTGCTGCGGGGAGAGAATATTAACTCCTTGGAACGCACGACCCTTTTCAACGCTCCGGAGTGGTTTGCCCAACTTGTCAGGTACCTGAATAATATCTGAGGGCTTTTTCTTAGCCTCTAAATCTCCCCTGAAGGCTTGAAAATCACGAGAAGTAATATTCTTAGTTAAAGTATCTTTATAGGATAACTTTAACGAATTCTTACTTTCGTGGGTGTTCGGCTGGAGTTTCCCGGTCGGTGCAGAGTCTTGTTTCACGAAGCCTCTATTTGTCTCGGCGATTTCCCCTGGTGCCGGCCGGTCGTGACGTTTTGAATTCGCGCCATCATGGTCTCCTTTTTTCGCCCTCTCCGAAGTCGCCACGTTTGTTGACTTCGTGGGTGCCGCACTGTTGTTGCCCTGCAGCTCTGCTCGTGCCTTCTTCATTTTCCAACACGCCAAGAGTCGATGTCCCGCTGCGCCGCAAAATTCACACTTCTCGTATTTTGTCGGCCGCTGCTTCGCGTCGATCTTGTCGATATCCATCGGGTCGGCGGTCGTGGGTGGTGCCGATCGCTTCGTGTCGAATGATCTGTTCGGCACGTGGCGTTGTGTCTCAGGTTGATCTCGCGTCAACGCATCGAATCTCTCTGCTGCACACACCATGTCGCGGTAGTTGTTGTAGTTCACGGCAATCACTTGTCGTCGAACTTCCATTTTTAACCCCTCAGTATACGCTTGGATCTTTTCCCCTTTGGTCAGGTCGGTAATTTGAGTGAAGAGGCTCTCCATCTGCTGCGTGTACTGTGTTACACTGCCGTACTGCTTATGCCGATGAATCTGCTGCCGCGCCATGTAGCTGGAATTGATCGGTTCGAAACGTTGAATTAAAGCTGCCCGAAACTGCGTCCATGACCCCTCGCCTCGGATCTCCTTACTGTTGTAAATCCACTCGAGCGCCGGGCCTCGCAACAGTGTCGCTGCGAGCCGAATCCGCATTGCATCGTGTGTCGGGGTCGTACAGCCAACGGCCTCGAAATAAATTTTGAGGGCCGCAATGAATCGACGGACGTCGGCGTCTCTCGCATTCGGATTAAACGCCTCCGGTAGCCTCGGACGTGCCGCCTCAAGATTCAGAGTGGCTGCTGCTTGGTGAAGTGTCGGTGTCGCCGCTGCTGCTGCTGCCGTCGCTGCTGCATTCGCTGCTACGTTCGCTGCTGCTGTGGCGGCTACCGACTGGTTCGCGAGGAGCTCCTCTAATCGCTGGAGTGCCGCTCGCATCTGGTCCAGGTCGGTGCGTAACTCCGTAATTTTTCGTACGGAATTATCACCGTTTTCCTCCATTTGGCGGTTTACAGGAAGACTTGCGACAGAGATAATTGAAAACTAGGCGCCGGTCGACTTACTGCGAATCAAATCGACTGTAGAAATCTCGAGCGCAGTTTCTGCTGGTCACGCAATTCTCCCTTAGCCGAAATTCGCGTCAGATCTTGGTCGTTCAGCTACAATTCGATCCGACGCCCCATATTTCAACTTTTTTGGGCGAAATTCTGAGGGCCGTTGATGTCGAAATCGATCCGACGGCTGAAATTACAACTTTTTTGCCAAAGGACCTGAGGAGTGTTCGAAAACCGGTTCGAGGGGGACGTTAAAAACTAGCTCGGAGTTGGTTTACGTACCCGAAATCGGCGCGTTCGTCGTCGCCCCCGCGGTTTTAAAAGCTACGATTTAGTGGTAGAAAAACTCGCGTGTAAACCTGCTCTGATTACCAAGTGTGAGGATCTTAGGATCGAGCTCAGAAAAGAGAATGGAATTGAATGTTTCACCTGGGTACAACGCGAGGCTATATATAGGCTCGACACAAGGCCTAGTAACCAGGTGTTACGCGAAGGTTCCGAGGGTCGCGAAGCGTCCCGAACAGAGCCTTCCCGAATTCGGTAGAAAGCAATTCGGTGGCAACCGAAAAGCCTAAAATTCGGTGCACTCAACCTAGTTCGGTGCCTATAACTATAATAAATATAGTAAAAGCAACGAACCTAGGAAATCTAGCAAAAGCAAGCAAAATCAAGCAAAGCTAAGCTAGATAATGCATAATAAAGTAAAGGCAAGCTAGCAAAGCCAGCATAAGCCGTCGTACTCTCACAGCAGCGTCAAGCACGTCCCCACGTGCATTACGCGCAGCTCGACGTGGGGAGGCAACGGGGCCGCAGGAGCAGCAACAGGAGGGACGGGGGGAAACAGTTGCCCCGGGGGTGCTGGTTGCTGATGCACAGGAGGTTGGGGGAGTGGCAACGGGTTCGGCGGCGGCTGCGGATGCTGTTGTGCCCGGTTCAGCGGCGGCTGCTGATGCTGCTGAGTCTGGTTCAGCGGTGCCTGCTGATGCGGCTGAGGCCGGTTCGGCGGTGGCTGCTGATGCTGCGGAGCCCAGTTCGGCGGTGGCCGCTGATGCTGCTGAGCCCGGTTCGGCGGTGGCTGCTGATGCTGCTGAGCCCGGTTTGGTGGTGGCTGCTGATGCGGCCGATCCTGCTGCGGCGCTGCTGAAAGCATCTGGCGTGGTGGCGGCGGCTGAAGTGACAGCGACGACGCGGAAGGAGACTGCAGGGGAAGCGCCTGCTAGCGGGCCTGCCGCCGCCTCTGACGACGACTTAACTTCACCCTCTGCCGTGTGGCCGACGGGGCCGCCGCATCCGGTGGAGGATCCTCTCTCTGCTGGACCCCCGACGCCGGTGTCTGCAGTGTCCCCAGCCCAGGTTGAGGCGGGGGAGATTGCTGGGGTCGGGGCGGAGGTGGAGTGGTCCGCGTCACCAGAGCCGGTACCGGCCGCAGTGCTGGCGGCGGTAGTGATCGCGGCGGCCGGGGAGCAGAGCGGAGCCCAGGGGGTAGAGGGCGAGATGACTGCCGCTGTGTGCGCCGGAACGCCTGCTGCTGCCGCGGCCACAAGCACACAGGCGCCCGGCCAGGCGGAGGGTGATAGTGCGGGTCCCGTGTACGGCGCCGCTTCCGACGCTTCCCGAGCGAAGAAGAAGACGAGGCTGCGCGCCCAGCCAGTGCCGAGGCGGCCCGGAGCAGGGCTGGGACCTGGCGCCCCGGGACCCCTCCTGGGCTGGCTTCTGCAAGGGCAGTCGCCACAAGTGCAAGAGCGTCAATCGCCATCTGTGGGGACAGGCGGCGGGGGCGTGAGGGCAGGAAACGGTATCAGGCGAGCGCCCACAGCGGACAACACAGCGGGACTGGCTGCAACAGGGCCCTCAACGGCTCAACAAACCCCACGACGGGAAACACGCAGCGCAACGAGACCACAAGGCATTACCTGGGGCCAGCCGACGACTAGCCAGGCAATGCCGATGCTGGCGCCGTGGATCCCGGCGGGAAGACCACAACAGGCCGGCCGAGGCGAGCAGACCGCCGGTGCCAGGGGCGGAGCAACGGCTCGCGGAGCGAGGGGAGGAGGGCGAGGGGCCAGAGGGGGGAGGGGCGGAAGAAGTCTGATTGTTGGCGGAAGGGAGGCGCTCGTGAGAACGGGAACGTGGCGGGAGCGCCACGAGCGACCAGAGCGGGCGGAGCCAGCAACGAATCAGAATGAGGAGAATGATGTTGACATCGATGAGGGGGACGACTTTGTAGCTGAATCAGCGGAGCCATCGGAGGAAATCTCGTTGGAGGACGAGGAGGATGTACGAATGAGGGGAGGGGCTGGGGGACGAAGGAGAACCCAGAGTAACAGGATAAACCCCCAGGTCGATAACCCTCAGGGGATAGGAATTAGGGACGATGAGGCGAATGGAGAGAGGAGAACCTCTCGGGTGGTGGGAGAGAACGGGGACGCACCAAATGAGGGACAGAACGACTCGGGGGCTCGTTCACCGGCTGACCTGGCGGATGATTCTGCCATCTGGGAGCTGGCAGCCACGTGGGACAAATACCCACTGCAGAAACCGGACCAACCCTTTGTGGTACGCAGGATGCCACCCGATGTCTTGGAAAGCTACACGCTCTGCCTTCTGGCGCCACTCATCCGACTCTCGAAATATCCGGACTGTCCAGGTGCATGGGCTATCCTACAGTACCTACCGAGGCTGACGCTACGTCCGGCACCCGAACCTGTTGAAGGGAGCCGGTGGACAGCAATTCAACCCCGTCTGCACCAGTTCCAACTCGGCAGCTGGCAGCCTCTGAACACTGACGCGTGTGTCATCCCCGACAATGAGAGACCGATACGACACCAACATGATGATGCAGGTTTATGTGCAAGGGCGGTGGGGTTGATACGGAAAGGAAATATTTCCAAGGCGGTTGCAGCGTTACGAACTACACTTCTCGCTGAAGCCACTGCGGCGACTTTGACTGCCCTCCAAGCGAAACATCCCGAAGCTGAAACATCGCTGCCAGACCTGGTTACCGGGTACAACCGCTCAACCCTCACCGTGTCAGCAGACGAGCTTCGCGAAATTCTCAAAAAATGCCCGAATGGGGTTGGAGCCAGCCCATCAGGGACATGCTTCGAACACCTCAAGGATCCTGCATTGGTAAACGGGGGGGTGCTCATTCTACTCGCGAAAGTCGTGACTTACCTTATGAGCACGTTCCAACCGCAGACGACACGCGACCTGCTACTACCTTCACGGCTAATCGCGCTAGAAAAGCCAGGAGGAGGCGTCCGCCCCATCGCGATAGGGGAAGCCATACTCCGAGTCGTGGCTAAGGCAGCGCTGCGAGGTTTAACGGAAAGCATCAAAGGTTTTTTCTTACCGGTACAGTTCGGTGTGGCGATACCAGGAGGCGCGGAATGTATCATACACTCCGTCAGATCGCTGCTAAGAGGCGACGACACGCGAGTAGCGCTACAGCTGGACATAGAAAATGCCTTTAACAGTGTCGAACGGGCGGCTTTCTTCAACGCTCTCCCGTGGTCCAGTTTGCTGCAGCTCATGCCCTTGGTCAGGACACTCTACGGTGCACCATCGCCTCTCTTGGCGTGAACCATATCCTCTCGTCACGTGGTGTGCGTCAGGGGGACCCGCTTGGTCCACTACTCTTCGCGGCAGCAATTCAACCGTGCCTGTTAAGCACAGCAAACCTATTACCAGAAGTCACGATAGTAGCCTACACTGACGACATCACGATAGTGGGGCCAAAAGGGGCTTGCTACGAGGCTTTTGGGGCTATAACGAGGGAGCTGACCACGCTCGGCCTGCGATGCAACATCGCAAAATCGTCGGCATGGGGGCAAACACTCGCGGACGACGATGGCACGGCACCTCCTATCAGCCTGCCGCAAACCGAGGACGGGATTCGGGTTTTTGGCAGCCCAGTAGGCTCGCCTGCGTTCTGCACCGCTCAAGCACAGACGAGGCTAGATGAGGCGTCGGCCCCATTACCCCTGGTAGCGCAGCTCCACCCGCAGAGTGCTCTACTCATCCTCACGAGGAGCATATCCCGCCAAATCTCCTACCTACTGCGGACGACACCGGCGGAAGTCTTGGAGAGAGAGGGGTGGAGGGGCTGGAGTGAAGGTCTGATGGCAGCGGCACTAACAGCGGCGAAGCTTCGGGTCCCTCCAGACGAGCTGGAGAGGAGCCTGTTGTGGCGCCAGGGGACTTTACCGGTCAGGCTGGGGGGTCTGGGGATCATTGACCCCGTCTCAGAGGTACGGGCAGCTTACATCGCCTCGGTCATGGCGGCGCAGCAGCTGCTACGGCAGATGCACCTACCCGAGGCCTACCTCTTGAGCAGGGCGGTCGATCTGCTGAACCACGAGTGGACCCCTGACCCACCCGGTATTAACCCCCTAACACCTCTGGAAGCGGGGCTGCCCGTGGCTGCAAGGGCGGCGCTTCACACTTACAGGGAGCTACCGGCGGGGCAGGGGAACCTTCAACTGACCCTGTCTCACCATATCAATGAGACCAGGGCGGCGGAGCTGATGGCTGACACGATAGAGGACCGACCAGGGAAGGACCGGGGACATGCTATACGACTCATCAGTTTGCAAGGGGTGGGAGCGGGGGACTGGCTTCATGCTATCCCAACGAGATCTGACCTTATATTCGCCCCTGGTCAGTTCTCGTTGGCCCTTGGCTTCCGCCTTGGAATGGCCCTCCCAGTCACAGTCACCTGCCCGTGCAAGCAAGCCAACACTGAAATCACAGACACGAGCCTCGCGAACCACCTCCTGCGGTGCGGTTATGGGGGAGATGTCGTCCGCACACACAATGCTCTGGTGTACACACACAATGCTCTGGTGTACGCTCTGCTCCGGTTATGGGGGAGATGTCGTCCACGAAACTACTGCCTTCTCCCCACCGGTGATAAGGAAGAAAGGGGATCTTGCTATTAGAGACAAGGAGTCAAATGAGATATGGGTCACGGACGTGACAGTGACTGACCCGGTGCTGCAGTGCCGTGACAAGCGTGCCCGGAAGCCACCTGGATGGGCGGCAAGAGAGGCGTCAGAGAGGAAACACAGGATCTATGAGGGGCGGCCTGATTATGTGGGATTTTTTGGGTTAGCAGTGGAGACGTACGGTGCCCTAGCTACAGACACACAGCAGTTTATCCACCTGCTGGCTACCTCTGCGGCGAAAAAGAGGTTCCGCCAGGGGAGGCTCACCACCACCACTGCACGGCTCACTGCCCACTACAGGCAGCGCTTCAGCGTCATGCTCCAGCGCTCGCAGGCCACGTCATTCCTGAACAAGTCGAACATGGAGGACGAGGCGGCCTTCTCACAGACAGCTAGGGACCCCTGGGAACCTAGCTTAGGGGACCTCTGGCAGGTCCTCGAAGATGAGATGGAAGGGGTGATGGGTCAGTAGGCAGTTTGGCCACGGGCTAGGGGATTAGCTGAGTGTTAGCCACCTGCATGGTAGGCCGTTCCATGCCTTGCTTGGATCGGCCTGGCCTACCTTGCCTGCCTTGCGCGGAGTGGCCTGCCTCACCTCCCTTGCCCTCAAAGTCCTGACCCTATGGTGCTGATGGTTTGCTGGCCGGGCCTCCCACTGGCTGCTCGACACACCTGCACTGGCCCTGCCCTGCTTAACCGGCTGCTCATAGGACTAGGTCTTTTCTGCACTTGTTTTGGCCATGGTTGTACCTTTATGAACCTATCAATGAAGGACTGCTTGAGAGAGAGAGAGAGAGAGAGAGAGAGAGAGAGAGAGAGAGAGAGAGAGAGAGAGAGAGAGAGAGAGAGAGAGAGAGAGAGAGATCGCTATCCCCATTGCGGCCAACAGGAGGATAGGGCCCACTCACTTCTCTAATGCCGTGCGTTTCCGGCTGGCCCTCCCCTTCTCCACGCCGAAGAACTGCGATTGCGCAGACCACACCGCCATCACGGACCCCCGCCTCCCTAACCACCTACTCCGCTGCGGCACGGGCAAGCATCGCATCAACACCCACAACGAGCTGCGCGATGCCTGCATCAGTATGGCCCAGGACGCGGGTTTCATTGTTCACAGCGAGTCGTCAGCGCACTGCCCTGTTGAGGAGCAGACGGCAGATTTTACAATGACAGACAGGAGCAGTGGGGCCGTCTATGTATGCGACGTCACCATTACCGACCCCATTAGCACTCGAGACCCCCCCTGAGGCGCAGAAGGGCAGGGGCTGGGCGGCTAGGGCACTACGCCACCCTGCCTGAGACGGTGAACTTATTCCCCCTGGCAGTGGACACCTACGGCTGCCCCTGTGCGGAGGTGCCAGTCTTCCTGAAGCTCTTGGCGGACACTGCAGCTCGGCGCCACTTCAACGCCGACTCCAAATCTTACTATGCTGCAAAGTTCCTGCACCAGTTCAGGCAGCGTTGGTCCGTGGCCCTGCAAAGAGCAGTCTGTGGGCCTCCTGCTCAAGCTTGGGGAGGCTGCGGCGGTAGAGAACCCCACTGTGGGGGGGATTGGGGAGGAGCTCTACTTGGGGGATTGCTTTGCAGTCATTGAGCCCCTAGTGGAGCTGTAGACTAGGGGTGCTTGTGCCTTGCATGTCTGTTACCTATGTGCCTATGACCTGCATGCCTGTACTTTCCTGCTATATCAATACAAGGACCATTAGAGAGAGAGAGAGAGAGAGAGAGAGAGAGAGAGAGAGAGAGAGAGAGAGAGAGAGAGAGAGAGAGAGAGGGAGAGAGAATAGCCTCTGCCCTCGGCCCCTAGCCTCTGCCCTCGGTCCCTTAGTACTATAAGAGGCCTTCTAGGCCTCCTTTTCTCATAGTTCAGTTGGCGGCCTACGCTCGACGGCGACGGCAAGAAACGGCACACAAGGCAGTTCATAAACAAAAGCATTACGAGCATGGCATCATCTACTGCATCCTAGCCAAGAAATACACAAATGGAGCTAGAGGAGCCCGCGTCTACATGCGGTGAGCTCCAAGGGCGTGAAGAACGCCCGTCAGAGTCCGCCAAAGCTCCCGGACCACAAGCGTGCTTGCGCCGATCGCGGCGGCTCCAGAACCTGCACGCAAATGGCGCCGCAGGCCGCGGACAGCATCGTCAAGCTGTCCCGCAGCAGCAACGCGGCGCCAACACTGGCGCCAGCAGCTGTGCGAGAAGATCGGCCGCGTCAAGATACACGCCACGCGACCGATCCTGAAACGTGTCAGGGGGAATCGCAGGGAGGGATGAATGAGCCAGCACTTGGATCAGCAGAACAGCATGCAGGCTCTCGGCGAGGTGAAACAGCTGGCCGAGAACCGCCTCATGTACTCGAGCCTGCGGGGGCTTAGAGGGTGTCTCAACATGACTGGTCCACGCGGACCCAGTCCGTTGCAAAAAATGTGCACCTTGGTCTGAAGTCTAATCCGATGGACCCTTCTGGCAGACCAGCCGTGGACCAGAAGCGGACTGGTCTGCTTGATGTGTTGCTACAGTCGCTGCGAATTTCAGTAGGGACGACAAAACATTTTATTTGCTGAAATCGAGTTTCTCTTTTTTGTGTGCCCGTTTGAAGCTCCACAGATAATCTTGCGCGAAGATCACGAGAGTAAACAAATTCGCAAAAACATGTTTGTGAAATTACTGTTGACGGACCAGGGGTGGACTGGTCTGGCGATCAAATTGAAGGCACCGTTTTAGTGCCATTCGAACGCTATAACGGAAAATAACCAAGCTCGAACTCTATCCCAGTCCGTTTCTGGTTCACGCGCTGGTCCTCGAGCTGGTCCGTCGCGTCGGTGTCGGACTCGCGTGGACTCGCGCGTTTGAGACACGTCCTGAAGCGCCTCAGCCAGAAAGGGAAGCGACCCATCGGCGGGAAGAGGGGCCAACCCGCCAGCGACGGAAGGCAGGTAGTGAGCCGTCGCCGCTCCACCCCCCGCGCGCACAAACTCTTCCCCCGCTACTGGCGGAACAGGCGGTAGCTGAAGACAGGACGCGGGAGCAGGAGCCGAGGCAGCGGGAGCGGGAGCCGCAGGAGGCGGAACTGGGAGAGGGGCTTGCCGTGGAGCCACATATGTCGGCGCCGCACGCATCGAACTGCCCTGAGATTGCGCCGCCCTCTCCTCGCGCATCGCGTCCGACACTAGCCGCTGCAGGTCCGGCGGTGCAGGGGGGTTCGTCGGAATGGTCGCCGTTTCGGGGGCAGACTGGGGCGTGGCGATCAATGCCGACCAGGCGGCAGCGCGCACTGGCGACGGCTCAGGAGCGCCGGCAATCACCATCTCGAGGACGAGGACGCCGCTGGCCTGGGGGGCAGGCAGTCAGCGGGACGGGCGGAGGACCGGAGAACGGGTATCAGGCGGAGGCACGCAGGGCTTTAACCACTATGGAGGCAACTAATGCAGAGGATGAATTGGGAGACCCCTCTTATAGGGAGGAAGCTCTCCCATCAAGTGAGGACGATAAGCAGGAGGACGCGGGAGCTATGAGAGAACCTGCTGGGAGAGGGACTGCTGGGAGAGTTACAGCGGTGATAGCATCAGGAGTGGAACAGCAACATGGGGACCCTGGTCCGTCGGATGCCGAACGGACGGGCGAGATTCCAACTTCGAACGAACCAGCCATAACGGGGCACGCCAGACGAAATCGGTCCGCCCTGGGCAACGCCGCGACACGACCGTCTGTGCCAATCCCCCGCTATTTCTCAGCTGACGAGCTTGCAGAGCGGCCGAAATTGTTCACTGCCATCGCGAACTAGGATGTCGCGGCCCTGAGCGACAGTCGTCAGCCTTCGCTGTCGAGGCGTTTACCGCCAAATCTGTGCCAGCTTTTCGCAGTCGCGATGCTGACACCGTTACTCCACCTGTCGCGACACCCCGAATCAGAGTCAGGATGGCGCCTGCTGTTGTTTCTCCCGCGTTTGACACTTTGTCAAACCTCGCCGCAGCGACCGGATTGGCATGGGGTCAAGGCTCGGCTCCGGGCATTCCAACGTGGCGAATAGGAGCAGTTGTACAGGCAAGCGGTGGACGCGGTCAACACACCACCTCCGCCACGACACCAGCCCGACGCGACTGGGGTCATCAACCGAGCAGAAGGGTTGGCGAAACGTGGCAGTCTGCGCCGAGCCGTGCTGGCCCTCGAGTCAACGCCCGTCTGCACTCCTGGCCCGGATATTTTGGAGGAATTGCGCCAAAAACACCCCCCTGCTATACACGGGGCAGTGACCTGGCCTGAGCACCACGGGTCAAAGCGGTCAATCGCTCATCCCGATTTCGCAAAATTGTTGGGGCGATGCAAAAACGGGGTGGGAGCCGGACCGTCAGGAATGACATTTGAGCATCTGCACGACGTGGCGATTACCAACGCACTGGTCAGCACCCATCTGCACGCCTTGGTCAACTCCATCCTGGGAGGAAATCTGCCAGGCTCGGTGGCGAATCTTTTAACAGCCTCACGCCTCATTGCCTTGGCCAAGCCGGGAGGGGGGGCTCGGCCAATCGCGATTGGGGAGTGCTTGATGCGGCTTGCAGCCAAAGCCGCGCTGGCTGCCATGGGGGACGCGGCATGTTCATTTTTTCTACCTCTACAGTACGGGGTG